TTAATGACAGTTAAGCATGTATCAAGTTCGCATACACTTGACACTTACCAAGTAATTCAAGAAGTAAAGCACACTTGAGGGTTCAGGCGTCCACCGTGGGATCCTCTCGAACGTCCTCTTGAGTGCCTGAGCAATTAATAATAACTATTACACACTATCATTTAAAACCCCTAATTATCGAAGAAGATTGTACTAGTATACAATCTAAGAAGATATCACGAAAATGAGGCTTAATTACTCGTAAATCGAGACTCAAAAGTGGGTTTAAATATACAAGGAAAAATCTGATTTTTATCTTGAAATCGAGTGTAAAACGGTCAAGCAATCTCGAAGGAAAATAGAGAGTGCAAAGGACTCGATTTCTTTTAAGTTCGGAAATTTCAGATTTGACAAGCAATTTTTGAAAAATCGTATCTCACTCTCTGTAGGTCCAAAATTAGAAAACTTGATACCGTTGGAAAGTAATTCCAAAGTACTAAAAATTTCTAGAAAACACTTTTCCACGATTCAAAATGGATGACATTCAAAATCTGGCTCAAAGTTGCTGTTTCGGAATACCAAGACAGTTTCGAGATTGGTTTTTGGCCAACTTTGGAAATTTGGCAAAATTTACAGAATGTGAACTAGCCTCTGAAATTTGGAACTCAATTAAAGTTACAATCAAAGTTTAAAACACAACACATGTAACAAGAATCGGAGTTTTGAGCGCCAAGATATAGCAGCTTGAAGTTGCTGAAAATTTTCACTGAACAAAGATTTTCCAGATTTGAAACTTGAACTTTGGGACTTTAGTTGGGCATCGAAATCGACTTGGAATGGCACCAAATTTGGTAGTATTACCCTACCATATAAGATCTATTCCTATGTCAAATTTCATATAAAAATTCGTACGGGAAGTCAGTTAACAAAGCCACTAAAGTTCCAAGAATTTCCAAGGCAAATCTGCCTTGTACTTCCATTTTCCCTTTTCTAACTTTTGGGTCAATGAAATAATCTCAAACATGGTTCATTTATGAAGACAAGGTCTAAGAAACATCCAAGATATTTTTGGTAGTTGGTCAACACCAAGAATTTTGAAATAACAAGTCCCAATTCAAATTAAGGCATTCAACTAGCCAAAAAGAGGGTTTTCCATCACTGAGAGAGTTTCGTAATTCGGCCACAACTCACCCAATTTAACTTGGAATTCAGTGTGGTTGGTGGTGTTGAAAGATACATTCATAAGGATACAATTTCACAGAAGAAATCATTTTGAAATTCTGTCCATAACTAGCTCATATTCGAGCATCAAATTGCAGCTCATAACAGATTTTTCAACACAGTCGAGAAACAGGGCAAGTGACTTTGAAAGGCTGGTATGGTTCACTCAAGTGGAATTGGGATGCATTTAATACCGTTGGAAAACTGGAAGTGTCTAGTTTCTAATGCCACAAACTGCACTCGATTTTGACATCGGAGCAAAGAGTTATGGTCAATTCAAAATCGCTGCCAGAACAACTCTAGACACGTTTTCCAGTTGTAAAGAAATTTCGAAATTTCAACTTTTGGCCAACCAAATCAAGTGATTTTTGGTGAAAACTTTTCACAAAACCTATACTACATATTTTCATCAAAATCAAGTCAATTGGACCACAAAAATTTGCACCAACAGGTGCAGCAAAGCAGGGGCAGAACCGGCACTTTTCTTCCTTTTGTTTCATTTGAGTTTTCTTTCCACTTTTCAACTTATAATCACTAGTTTAACCACTAATTCAACATAAACAGCACCCAATATCATCACATCAGTTCATCGAGTCTATTGTGGGATTTCATAGAGTCCACTCACAAGATTTACAACAATCCAAGACTACCCACATGAAGCTACAAGATTCTAAGTTGAATATAACTTACAAAAACTAAGATTCAAAGGTTTGATCGTCATTACCTCATAGATGTTGCTAGAGCAGAAATTTTTGGTTCTTTGAAGCTCAAGAAAACCGTGAGGTTGAAGCTCCTTTTCTAGTTTAAGTTGATCTCCAAGTTATTTGCAAGGTGTAGTGTGAATTTGAGGTGATGTGGTGCAAGAAAGTGAGATGAAATGAAGAAAATTTTTGGTCTTCTTCTCCAAGGTGATGCACGGCTGTTTGAGTGAGAAAGAAAGAGTTGTTGCAGCTGTAAAAGCTTCTTGAGGAAGCTTAAGAATGTGTGGCCAACAATGCTCCAAAGGTCAATTAGGAATAGTGCGCGCACGTGCGCTTTTCGTGCTCGATTCCTCTCAGGTTTGTTTCACTTGTGCACTAAACCTCTAATACACTTGCATTGATACTATTATTATTCACTCTTAATAGTCTAAAAATAATGGTCTAAAGTCTCTCGATTAATCGCGCGCTAAAAAACGCGTACTTCCGATTTGTGCGCGATAAAGCGAAATTTCTAAGGAATTCTTGTAACGATAGTATTACTAACTAATACTTGAGTACTTAAACATAAAAATACCTAATTTAAGACTAATGTATGAGTCTTCAATCTCCAAACTCACTGTACTCTCAAATCGATTATTGCCTCCAACCGCGTGTTCACTATTCTCACTAGACGAGCTTCCAAAAATTAAATTTTGTAACAAGTCATTTTAAAAATATATGCAAGTTATAGTTCCATGTAATTGGGTCTAAAAAAGTTGGAATATAATATTCAGAGCAAACGGGCAATTAAATATTTAAATAAGCTAGTAATAGGAATTTAAAATAAGTAAATTTGCGAGTCCTCATACGAGTCTAGTATTAATTTCTCAATTCTCCAATTTGTCGTACGACACGACTTTCGAGAAATTATCGACGTACATATGATAAAAACTTTATTTAACTTAATCACATCTAATCTCTCGATTAAGTCTTCTTAGTCCCCTATTGATCATCCTTAATTCTCCAAAATCATTGTACTCTCAGATTGACTATCATCTCGAAGGTGTGTATTTCTTATTCCTTAATAAACGAGCCTTCGAAAAATTTAAATTTGTTAGCGAGACGTTTTAAAAGTATAAATAAGACATGGTTTCATAAAAATGAATTTAAGAGGGTTGAAATAAATTGTTCGGAGAAAACAGGTGAATAAACATTTAAATAAGCCAGTAATATGAGATAAAATGAGAAAATTTTCGAGTCCTCACAACTCCGTCAACCTTGGAATACAATATCAAGATTCAGTAGAATACCACTTCACGCCAGTCTCCGTCCACCGATCATCCGCCTTTACCAGGCCTGCACGCCAAACAAATAACAAGTGGGTTAATACTCGAATATACCAGAGTCAATAACAAGATACAGGACCCAAGGTTCATCGATCACTTCGACCAAACCCTTGCGAGCTCGATTTGACCAACTAGTCGATGGGTTTGGGATTCCAAACACGTCATATAGCCGGTGAAAAACATGCCCAACCGACGTTCAAGTCAAGCACACGTATATCATTTCACATGTAAAAATAAGAGAAATAAGGAAAATTATAAGACAAGTATAAAATAAACTCTTGTCGAGTCCTCACAGAAGATACTTTTGAGAGATGTACAATGAATTTGTGCTTTTCAAGATAAGCACTTGTTGGGATATATGAAACATCTTTGTCATTAGAGTAAACTATCACATTAGAAGGAAGTTCATCTTGTTTTTGTCAAAATCATGATATGTGACAGAGTTTATAGAATTTGACTGAAGTAGTGTATGATACTTTATTCTGGTGTATTGTGAAACTTTAATTCTGTTATAATATTTAATTTTAGTATATTTGAGCAGGATAATATTGTACCATCAAAAGATTGATTTCTGGCCTTTATTAGTGACTTTTTTGCAACCCAATTTTATGTTGCAATAATATTATAGAGATTATTGGTGGTTCATTTTTTGTGCCGCAAGTAGAGTGGCGACACTCAAACTAGCGTCATTTTTTTGTGACACAAATACATGCGGCACATCAAAAAATTGCTTTGCTTTCTCTTGTAATGCCTACTTTTGTGAAACAATTGCATTATGTCGCTTTTGTGCTGCAAAAAAGTTTTACGATGCTTTTTTGACTTTTTGCGACACAATTCTGGCGTCGTGAAAAGGCAGTTTTCTTTTAGTGCGATTCGCCAATGTGATTGCGGTAGATGATTTCATAGAGGGAATAGGATTAGGGGCAGAGCCATCTTTATTTCAATTACGCCCCTCAATTTTTTGACAACTATAATATGGCATATAAAAAATGTTAGTTTTTTAACATTATCTCACTTTTGCCTTCCTGAATTTTAAAAATCTACCATTTAAACCCACAATTGGCCCCAAATATTGTTAAAATTATTTATAGTTTCCTCCATCATTTCTATAATAGAACCTTGAATAAAACATATTTTACTAAGCTATTATTATGCTCCTTGTACTAAATTTTGTTTTCTTAATGTGTCCAACCACAAAATCGCAAGTGAACCAGATATTCTTGTGAAATTTTGACTATATACCTAATATGTGTATCTTATATATGTAGAAATGTATATCTTATGACCTCATGCATACTTTTGAATATTTTGCGATTTTTTCCTATTACATGCATGATAACTAGTAACATCATAAATCATAAATTGTATCAATTTCTTATTTTTATAATTTTTATAATATTGCAGAAACTAGTGCATGTCCATTAAAGTTGTAACAAGTACGTAGTTATCACAAAAATCCATAAACCATGCGTTGTAAGTTGAAACTAAAATTATGGCACCTTGTGAACAAAGGTTCTAGCTCCACCATTGAGTAGAATTCCCTATTGAGAGAAGAGTTTGGACAAATTGAAAGTGAAGGTAACATACTTGGCGGAGAAGTTGAGAGATAGGAGTAGCTCTAGCGTTTTGTCCAAGAAGTGATGGGCGTTTGTAGTTGGTCTTGAAAGTGGAGGAAGATTGAGGAAGAGATATAGTGATTCATTCATAGTAGTACAATGGCAATGTGGTGGGTTCGGAGAGAAATGACTTTTTTTTAAAGCAAACCCCGTACATGGGGATGGAATGCCAGCCCAATTTATTAATAAAAAATAAAAGTTACATTGAGTTTATAAACACCTACAACACACAATAGGAAAAATAAGGAGCACTACTCCCTTACATTAAGTAGCCGAACATGAAGAATTGACCGACGGTCCAAAAGGACTCATTGTTTCATCCTCACAATATGCTCTCTTGACTGCACCGTTGCCAGACCCATGCTCCTATACCTGCAGATGATCAAACACTTGCGCCCATTAGATGATTGTTTTATCATATGTATTCTGACTTTCTTAAACATGGTTTCAACCTTCTTTACCAAAACCCGTGTGTTATTCTGTTTCTTTTCTAACCAAACTGTCAGAATTTTGAGTGCAAATGTACGAAAAAATTCAAGCACAGAAGTAAATATGTCATCACAAATTACAAGATACTCACCCGCCCAAACCAACAGTCTATGCACAACACCCTACAAGTTTCCTGCACCTTGTGTCAGCAATAGATTCCTTTCATTGGTTAAATCCCAAACATTTTTCCCACCTTTAAGTTTGCTTAGGTTTCATAGATACTTCAATTGCATGAGGCCAACCAGCCGAACTTCTCTAGCTGGTTAATCCAAGTTATTTTACCTTAAATTTAATCGTTAACAAACAAGTTCCCACTGGTAACACATTGGCAGTACATGGCTTAACAATGATTATATTAAGGGTTAAATACCAAAAACTCCCCTGTGGTTTGCCTAATGTTCACTTTATCTCCCTATGGTTTGGAAACCTACAATTTGACTCTCTGTCATTTCAACTAAAGTAAAAGTCTAACAGAAAACATCTAAACTAACGTTTGAAAAGAAAATGTCAAAATTGCCCCTCTATAAAGGTTTTGGGTTAAATACCAAAAACCCCCCTGTGGTTTGTCAAATGTACACTTTACCTCACTATGGTTTGAAAACATACAATTTAACTCCCTGGCATTTCATCTAAAGTGAAAATCTAACAGAAATTCCGTTAAATACACTTTAGTTGAAACGACAGGGAGTCAAATTGTAGGTTTCCAAACTATAGGGAGGTAAAGTGAACATTAGGCAAACCACATGAAGGTTTTTGGTATTTAACCCTTATATTAATTCAAGGGCAGTCTATTCATTGCTACATTGGGTTAAACCAGTCTGTAGCTGAGAAAAATGGGCTGTGTCGCACTTTGTTGGGTCTCTACAAGGGTTTTGAAAAAAATTAAAAGATCAAGGAGATAACACTATGGTTGGATAAGCAAGATAGATTCTGTGTCAATTTTGTTTTGTCCTTTCAATGGATGAAGAAAGCATAATTATATAGAAGAATTGCCACACAGACTCTCTTTCAAATAACGTAATGTTATGTGGTATGTAGGTTTGCCAACAAACAAGACAGGAGAAAGGGTCCAGATCCAAACCGTGAAGCTAATGCAGCAGTAATAGCAACATCAGTTGCAGGCATTGGACGTGGTTTCTGGCGGTAGTATCGTAGAAATTCCCTTGATCCAAGTACTCTTGTTGACATTCCCCCTTTGTTACTCCGGGTTATTATGAGCTCAGATCCACCACTTCCAAATTCAATCCTGTTTTGACTATCATCTGCCACAACTAGTTGCTTACCATCAGCGTCAGTGTAACTGCAACAAACAATGTACTTATTTCAGAGACAGTATAGCTTAAAATGCTGGTTAATATTCTCAAGCTTCATTTCATTATAATAAGAGAAATATCTTGTGAAAGCCAATACCTGCTGCTGTAATCGTAAAACTCTTCTAATTCTGCTTCCTCATCATCTCCTCCATCACCATAATGCACCTTGCAATGACTTCTTGCTTCCATGTGCTTCCTAACTGCTTCAAGACTGCCAAAAGGATGGCATCTGTCATTGCAATATAGACACATATGATCCCTTCTAACCTGAAGAATAGCATACAAACATATCAGTTACTATTCCTACAGAGCATTGCAGGGCAGATAGAGTGCATAATTTTATTTCGGATAAAGTATGCAGTCACTACCTTTAAGCCAAGATAAGTAAGCAGGCCTTTTGGGTCCTTCAGATATTCAATATCAGGTATATAAAATCCATGCCACTTGTGCATGTGAACCATGCAGCTTTCTATTGTACCATGCTCTAAGTCACACATAAAGCAACAAGATGGGTCCAACTCCTTCAAAAACTGATCTGGATCACTACCTTCATCCTCATCCATAGAATTTTGCTCATTCATATTTAGCTGCGTCAGAGAATCGGTGGCCTCACCCATCAAGTCTTCCTCTGGGTCAACCTCCTCCCATTCACTCTCTTCACTTTCTTCATCGTCCAACTCATTGTCTTGGGAAAGCTTATTAGGAACTCGCGGTTGGAAAGGTTTGATAATAGCATTTGCACCTTCATGATTTCCAACTCCCTGGGAAGCTCGTAGTGAGTGACTTTTAGACTTTAGATGCTGAGCATGTGCCTTGGAACTTCTATAACTTTTGCCACAAAGACCACAACTATAGAGCATTGGAGTTTCATTTAAGTTTTTCTTCTCTTCTGCAAGTGCAGACTGTCTAGCTAAATATAGATCTTCTGTCACGCCAGGAACTCCAGCAACCTGGAATAAAATATATATATATATACATATATATATATACACATATATATATAACAGTAAAGACAGTGTTTAATGCACAATACATATCACCAGTATGCTCAAGGCATGGTTGCACATTATTTGATAAATTGTGACATGCACATTCAATCGTTGCATTTGACAATATTAGTGGTTTTGTAGCATCCCAAGTTATTAAAAACCTTTTCCAAGAACAGTATGGTGCATGACACAAACTTGCAACATTACAAATTGAAATGGCACTTTTGCTTGCCTTATTGATTACTGCTGCTTATTTTACTCAAATCTTACAGCAGTAAACCTTGTAACCCCCTACAGATAAAAACACAACATGATGCATTCTGGCTGGAAGATCAGCCCAATAAAATCAGTGTGGACCATCACATGTGTCAGGGACCAACACACTACCCACATGCTCTAGAGGCACTCGTTGAGGCTACACAGGTGATATGCTCTTGCTGATGTGAGCTTGCACATATTATTTAGCAGGATTTAAGAATTAGAAAATACGCATGCACTACCGAAAAGCTTGTGGAGCATAAGATTGATTTCAGAACATAAGTTGTAGAGACTTTAGAATGGATTTTTTAGCTCCAAAATATGAGGACAAGGCAGGAGGAGAAAGAAGTAACAAAAGGGGAGGAGGAGAAGAAATTCACCAATTCTCTCAAAATTTATTTGATAAGTCAAGCTTGTGAAAAATATTTTGCACTTAATTATGATGAGAAGTGGGTAGAACAAACACTGGATACTGTACTGATTTGTGTTTTTTATTCAACTTTGATGGAATATTGTTATATTCTGTGTGCATCCTGAAGTAGGGAGCTAGAATCTCAACTTGTCCATCAATTGGACCATGGACTTTCTGCCTCCTTTTTCCTTCTTTCCACTTAACAATGTCTCAACAACAAACAAACAATCTGAGTCTGAATGCTCAAAATCTAGATAAGGACATGGTGTACCAATATCACCAAAGAAATGATACCTCCCCAAATCTCTACAGATTCATTGCTAGGGGCGACCGGGTCGACAGCTAGTACTGTCTATACTAACCATAAAGATCTTGTCCAAGGCTACCTAGACAAACTGCCAGAGACCAATTGACAAAGCAGAGAGCCAAACTAGTGGGTTAATACCTACAAAAAGCTTCATTAGACAGGTAAACCTATTCAATGTGTTGATTCTTCTCTAACTAGATGCCTACCTTCGCACCTTAGAGAGAAGGTGGAGTCATTCTAAATCTCTTCATTTATTGCGCATTTTACATCCTATAAATAGACTCTAAAAACAGAACAAACTGGCAACTTTACCTGACAAATTGGTCCACCAAAGCTGCTGCTATGGTGGCTGTCCATTGGAATTCTAGCCATGCAAGACCCTTGGACTCCTAACAATGCCTAACCCTTACTGAACATGCTTGACCCTTGAAATTCTGAATATAGCTACTACATAAAGCTCCAACTATCTATCATCAAAATGCAGCCAAATACCAGCTAGTGGGACACTGAAATACACATACACTGAAATCAGCTGAAAAATCACAATCTCAGTCCTAAATCGGTTACAATCTTGTCAACCTTAATTTTCTTCTCATATGTTAGTGTCCATAATTTTCTGTCCCGCCTAATTCTCTCATAAAGTCTTTATAGAATCTTAGGCTAGAATTATTGTGGACAACTACAAAGCAACGTATATACCCTGGCTAGAGCTGTCCAAAAGATGCCAAAAATAAGCTCAAAAACTACCCAAATTAAGAGATGTTGCAAATTATGTTAAAAACAAAAATGGGCAAAATTGTTCCATTGATGAGACAGAAAGTAACTAACCTTGCGCTTGAGGTTGTAACGGTGCCATTCGGATTTGTAATGGAGCTTCTGCTCAATTTCATCTTGAAATTCCTTATTGCAAGCGTTACAGGTTAACCCCGGCATCTCTTCCTCCCTTCCAAACTTCTTCCTATAATTCCTGCACAATGAATCGAATGTAAATATCAAAAGCTAAATATACAACGTAGTCTGCCCTATTGGTCGGTGCCGCCGCCGACCCCCCAGGCTTCACTCATCACATACGTCAGCAATGACACCCATGGAGCCCACACAAAGCAGGAATTTGAAAAAAAAGACAGAAAACTTTGAAATTAAAAAAGGCTTGATGATTAGGTAAAATAGAGAAAGACCTCTGGACGAGTTAAGGATAGTGCGCAAGGAGAATACAGCGGAGACGGTGCTGGTTCTGTTAGAGTAATTGCAGGGATGGTAGTGGTTCTGTTGAGTAATTGCAGGGATGGTAGTGGTAGTGGTAGTGGTATGGTGGTGGTCGTGGCGGCGGCCCGTTACCGTGAGCTAATTTTGCAGTTACCGATGAAAATACTTTTCAAAATTCGACCAAACACCAGAAAATATAGTGAAATTACTTTTTCTTATTGGGAAAATAAATTAAAAAAAAAACATTTTCACAAGTAAAATTTTTGTGAAAATTGTTTACACCAATCAAACATACTCTTGGGGTCCGTTTGGTTGAACTGAAAATATTTTCCATCGAAGTCATTTTCCTGGAAAATCATTTCCTTCCCAATAATTTTCCAGTGTTTGGTTATTAAGTGAAAATATTTTCCAAATTCCTTTTTTCATAATTTTTCGGTGTTTGGTTTGTCAATGAAAATATTTTCTGATATATTTGTTGATATGTTGCAAATATTTTTCTACTATCAAAACATTCATTTACCGAGAGCTTGCATGTTGAGTTGCAGCCTGTTATTATTGTAAAAATGGAAACTAATGATAGGTTTTGCATGTAATACGTTGGCTTCTGATGTTTTGGGAAGTTTAGTTGAAGAAAACTTGGGGGAAAAGGTGGAACTTTGGGTTGAGACCGCAGGAAGAAACATGCTGGAATTTTTCCAGCTTCATCCGAGAGGAAGAAACTGAATTTGCAGCTTAGTAACCGAATGTATGGAGTAATTTTCTGCTAGAAGCTCAAACCATGTGGTATTTCCTTGTCTTATCTGAGTAACCAGTGCAGAGTTGTTAGCTTGAGTGAAAAATTTGCAAGAATTAACTGGTGGTTCTGTCTAGCTAGCCGAGAGATGAAGAAAGAAAATTTTCCAGATTTCTTGACAGATTTCTGGGTTCCAAATTCCTACATTGAAGCTGAATACCTTGCATAATCTTTTAGTTTTAGCATGCATGTTGGATTTGAATGGGAAATGAAGAAGTTAATGTAGAAGTTCTTGTTTAAAAATTGATTGCTGTCCAAAACAGTCACAGCTTGACCGAGAGAGAGAAATAGACTTCAGATCAGTTTTTCCTTTGAAATTTTGGCTGTAAAATTTTATATTGATGATCAAGTTTACTCTGTAGCTGGAGACTCATCTTTTGCATGATGAGTTGGAGTTAAAACTGAAGAAAATTATGGAGAAAGCACCATATGTTAAATCGCTACACTGCTGGAAATTGTAATGTGTTGCTGGCCGAACTAGTTGAGGCTTTTGGTGGGATTATTTTCTGGAATTGTGTTTTATTTGTTCTAGTTTGGGTTGGACAGATTATGAGCTACGTGCTTAGTGTTTTAAATAAGTAAACCGTGGAGCTTTATTGAACATTTTGAATTGATATTGCTGGAAATTTTACTTGATGGCTGAAACAGTGAAGGGTTGAACTTCCTTTGAAGTTTTGAGAAATTGTAAGATAGTTGTTGTAACTATACACACACACACACACACACATATATATATTTATATATATATATATATATATATCAGTTTGTAGCATCTTGATCTTGTTAATAGGAATAAAATGCAAACTAGAATCTGTTTTAGCCTAGATGGAAGAAATGAAACGATCACTTGTCTTAATCCTTGCATATTAGATTGGAAATGAGTTAATCTTAGCTCAAGTGTTTTATACAATCTTAAAATTTGGTTTATATGTACATTAACCTTGTTTTAAAGCTACCAAACTTAATGATCTTGAAGAAAAATGTAAGGAAGATTACTGGATTTTAGTGACTTGTTTTATAAGCATAGGAACTTGGGTTTTAGTTACCTTTTTTTTTTTTTTTGTCTACACAGAGGTATCTGGATCCATGGACTGGTTACCGTACGACCTAACTAATCCTCTGCGAGTCGGGAGAGGCTGCCCAACATCACCAACTGTAGCACCCAGGATTCGAACCTTTTGCGGTGGTACTCACCTAACTAGGCTACTACCACCAGCTCTAGCCCTGGGGAGCACTTGGGTTTTAGTTACTTAAACCTTAAATTGTTATAAGATACTGTGGCTGATAGTTACCCTTTGCATGTTAATTTGGAAATGAGGAAATGAAGAGATTGAGAAGGACAATTTGGCATTTGGAATTGCTGAACTACTGGACTTGCATATGACTAAAATTTCTTGAAAGAAATTCTGCTCCTCTCTTACTGAATTATAGATGAACTAAACGAAGGTAATTAATGAAATCTGGTTCTGTTTGGTTGGTCTAGTAGATAGCCAGCTAGTGTTATCAGATATTGGGAGCACGAGCCAATATATGAACATTGGACTGATATATTGTTTGAAAGCCTAATTAATAGTTGTGATCATAAACGGTAGATTGTGGATAAGATGTGGTCAATCAACATACTGAAATTTTGAGACAATCACCTTGAACGGAAGGTATATAGGGTAATTACAGTTAAACAATTAAAAGATATTATAGGTTCAGGAACGTTTGAGCTGGAACCTTGTTCTAAGATAGGATGAAGGGAGAAATGAAACTTTTATGCAATCTTGAGATTTTAGCTAATTGGTTGTAAGATTGCGCTTATGAACATTTAAGAAATTTAAAACTAGAAACTAACGAGTTATTACAAAACTTAAATCATAAGCAGCTCGGAATTAGTTTGTTTAAAACGGGGAGGATAAAAAGTTTATTTACTTTAACCTTAGAATATAGAGTAGAAAATGGTTTGATCCTAATTTGAATATTTATAGATTATATTCTTAAAAATAAAAATGTATATCTCTTGGTTAAAATGATCAATAAATATTGAATGTGTTATAACTGGTTCTAAACTAAAACATGACTTTAATACGATTAACGTATAAGGTAACAAATGATAAAATCAATAAGTTTTGAAAATAAAATGATGAATAAATATTGAGTATGTTATATTTGTATTTTAAGGTCAAACTTGATTTTAATAGTTTAAATAATAAGATAAGAATGATAAGTAATCACCTACAAATTATGTATTTACTTTGAAATTATTAACTTGCTCTAGGAAGTAGCCGTGAACCAAGAAACAAACTCGAGACTCAAGAGTAGTTCATTTGAATCTTTGGTAGTGTTTTCCGAATTTATGTGTTAAACTACTTATGTTTACTTAAGTGCAATTATGTGGCAAATGTGCTTATTATAAAATATTGTTAAGTGATTCATTGTGAAGTGTTTTCAATTGTCCCTCGCCTTCTAAGTCGAGGGTGTACTTTATCGTACTCGACTTAGTTGAGTTTAAAGGTTGATAATTGATCAAGTGATATTGTAAATGTGTATGACTATAAGCCGTGTGTGTATTTTATCACACTGGCTAAACTGGACCCCAAAACTCTCTGTTCAACGGACTATTTGAGCCAGCAAAGGGCTTGGTCAGATAGGACGGTAGCTTTGGGTAAGTGTTTCGCTATACTTGAGTATTACCACGGAGTAGCAGATTACTGATATTGATATGGCCATCTAAGTGAGGGAAGTGTTTACTGTTTTGGAGGTTATAAAGAGGAGTTCGGCGGAGTGTGTAGTGCATTGAAGTGGCTCTAATGCAAGCACCGTATCCTTTTAAAAGTAATTGTTTAGTGGAGTGAAGTGTTTCCTCAATTGCTTAATGAAAGTGATTGTACAATGAAATGTGCACTACTTGCTTAATTGTACTGATTTAAGTGCTTATTGATTGTTGCTTGCATGGAAACCTCACGGGAGAAAGCTCACCCTTTTAGCTTTGTTTTCCTTACAAGAGTTAGAGATTGAAGAGTGATTGGATTGAACTAGAAAGTTATTTTGGAAAGATCCGTTACTCTGTGTATATAGTGTAGTCATGGTTTCTTTTGAACTTTGAGACTTTTGAATCTTACGTTTGAGTTGGTGTGATATTAAGAATGGATATTTAGAACAGGTATTTTGTTTCTTTTAGTGGACAAATTTATGTTTCAAACTGATTGGAGATGTACTTAAGAGTGAATGTTCAGTTGTCCAATGGCAATGTTACCTCTGAAGTTAATAACAGTAAGTGAGTCTTGACGAAAGCCAGACAGGCGATCCGCTAACTTTTAGGGTATGCCTTAAGAGAAGGTGGGGTCGTCACAATAACAATCTCCAAACAAAGAAAGAAATTTTGATTGGAACTATAGACTCCCAAAAAACCTTATTAGTCTAGGAAATATTCCTTTTTTGTAGAATTTCATTCCAAATCGAGGCCACAAAAAAATCCCCATTACTTGATGGCAGCCAAACCATGTAATCTTCTTGATCCTAGAAAAATTCTATCTCCAACACTCTACGAACATGCACCTCTAGCAGCTATTGTCACAAGTGAACTACATTCCATCCCATAGACACAAAATAAAACTCGGCAACAAGAAAGTGAGGTGGTTTGGCAATTCCTAGCTGAATAGCTAATGGAGTATCACCACACTAACAATCATACCAAAAATCCATCATCCCCTAACTAAGACTCCACCGGATGCAACTGTCCATAAAATTGCACACAGCTTCCAATCTACGCCAAGAAACCGAAGGTCTATCCACCACAACTAAGGAAGGATGTACACCTTTGATATATTTATGATGCAAAAACCGTGACCAGATCGAATCATTCTTACACAACCTCCACCATAATTTACATGCAAAAGCTCTAAAGACATCTATAAAAGACCCAATTCCCAAACCCCCCTCTTGAACTAGATAACATAAACGGGAGAGGGGTGACTTTGAATAATAGTGTAGAGAAAATTTTGGCCTTGCTTCTCATTTGTTTTACCATGGGACCTCACTTGTTCCTAAATTGCACTTGCTTCGCCAGCGTATTTTTTTGGATATGGACTTTTAATTAGTGGCTTCTAAAATCAGATATAAAATCCAAGGACTGAATTGGCTTAAATAAAAAATGAGAGACTATATCAACTTAAAATAAAATAGTTCAAGGACTAAACTTGTTTCTCTAAACAAAACATAAATAAATATAACACTTGCATAGTGAAGTTTTAACGAAAGTATGTATGTCATAGTGGCACAAGATAGTGAGAAATATAGCAATGAAAATTTTAGAGAGAGGCATGAAGATTTGCATTGGTTTTGTTACATAAGATTATATCCAATTTCTTTCTCCCCCTAAAATTTTGCAACCAGATATTTCAATTGACGA